TTATTGGAACGAAGGTTACGTTCGTGAGTTTCAAAAAGATAAGATGAGATATATTAAAATAAAGAAGCTAATAACTTTGTGTAAAGCTGATAGGAACAATAATAGATTTTTATTTATGATTAACTTGATAATTTATTACATAATCACATAATTGAGAATTGATACCAGAGGGAGACTTTGTACAAAAGTCGATTGCTTGGCTACCTCTGTCCCATTCGTGTTTCAACCGTGAAGCACTAGTGTTTGCATGTCTGTGTTTCGGTTTGAAGGGTGGGATATGGCGTGAATTTACTGGGTACAGAGGAATAACACCTGAGTCCTCAGGAATGGCAACGCATGGGGGTATCGTGGGAGAAACAGTATACTCTGTTATGTCCATGGTACTGCTGATGTCTATAAGCGACGGTTACCACTTTCCATCAGGTGGGCCGTCAGTTTGTTTGCCATTCTATGTTGTATAAAAAATAAATGGAATGGTAACCTCGCCTGCATTATCGGTATAAGCTGGCGGGGCATCCGAGAGGGATGTGAGATGAGCACGAAAGCGGTTTTTTTTTATATACAACTTTGAGTTCAGTTAGCTCATCGTGACGAATTAAATAAGAATAAAATACGATGGTAAATAAATAAATAAAATGGTTTTCTGGATAATAATGGGGCTGTTGGACGTAATGGATTAATAATCCCTTCCCCCCACATCCACCTCCCATCTCTTCACTAGATCAGCAGCTAGGCAGAGCGATAACGTACGTAGAATTGCGAGTTACATAGAATAATTATACAATACCTGCTTGTACAACAATTAGTCCATTACCCTAAGGTTGTCTTGAAAAGATTGCTCTCAGCAATAAGGCCGCCTTACTGTACTTATACAACTGTATCGTTATATTTATTAACTAGCAGCCCTTCCCGGCGTCGCACGGGTGGACATTTTTACCATTTTCCTTCACTGCTCTGCTCCTATTGATCGTAGCGTGATGAAAATTATACTATAACCTGCCCAGGAGTATGAAGAATAATTGTACCAAGTTTCGTTAAAATCCGTCTAGTAGTTTTTGTTTTTATAACAAACATGCAGACAGACAAAAATGTTACTGATTGCATTTTTGGTATCAGTATCGATCACTAATCTCCTGATAGTTATTTTGGAAATATATTTCATGTACAGAATTGACCTCTCTACAGTTTTATTATAAGTATAGATTGTGTTGTTTTCCCCCTATATTGTATACTTATTCATTCATTCAATAATTAACAACGAAGAGCCAAAGATCGTGCTCAACTTTGGGACGGCCTATGTCCAGCAGTGGACTACAGTAGGCTGATTGTGAAAGTCCCTTATCATCATTCCTTCCCTTTAATTCCAAACTGATAACTCCGCATCGTTTAAAATAAAGAAAGAAATAGGTCTGGTCTCTATTCGATTCGGTAATCTGTAACGTGCCGCCCCGCGCTGCGACAATGCGCTGCACTCTAGTTCATACACAGCGGGCAATACTAATCACATACGTACATATACTGCTTCAATTTGTACCTTATTGTATTAAATTATTTATATATATATATATATTTAGATTTTAATTATATGATTTACTTTGTATATATGTCAATATAATTATTATTTCTTATCAGAAACAACTATACTGTTCCCTCCTATTATTGTACGCACACTGCCCGCTGGTAATTAATGCTCCTCTCCACTCAGGGTTTGCTGGAAGAGAACTCTTACAGTGTTAAGCTCGCCTCTTGTACATCTTCATTTAATATATATTAATATGTTAAAATTAATAAATTGTGTATTTTTTTTGTGTACAATGAAGAATAAATAAATAAATAAATGAATAAATATATATGCATATATATCTATTAGCAATACCCGCGATTTTGTCTGCGTGAACGGAATAAAAAATAGCCTGTGTCCTTCTCTAACGAAATAGTATTTGTATATCAATTTTCATGTCGATTAGACCAACTGAACATTCCTGTGGACTCAGGTGTTATTCCTCTGTACCCAGTAAATTCACGCCATATCCCACCCTTCAAACCGAAACACAGCCATGCAAACACAACTGCTTCACGGTTGAAACACGAATGGGACAGAGGTACCAAGCAATCGACTTTTGTACAAAGTCTCCCTCTGGTGGTGTGTTTGTGAGTATCGTATTCTAGTATGAGTATTCTAACAGTTCCTTAAAGTTGACTGGAAGAGAATGTTTCTAGCATTAAGACCGCCATGTACACATATCTTCTTAAGTACAATGAATAAATAAATAAGTTGCTAAGGATCCCATGAGGGTCATCAGGAAAGGATAATAGGCTAATAGAACATATGGCATGGCCATCCCCAATTGTGAGACGTTATTTGTAAAGATGGTGTGTAAGAGATTGCCGTAGCGATAAGACCGCCTTTTGTAACTTTATATGTATATTTTAACCTGTACTCCATGCTACTGTATTTCAGTCGAATTGTTTATATGTCATTGTTTATTTTTATGTTTTTTGGTGCAATAAAGAGTTAAATAAATAAATAAACTGTAGTTAGTGTTAATATAAGATACAGACTACCTATTTGGTGCCAAATTTGATTCGGATCCGTCCAGCTGTTTAAGCGTGATTAAATAACACACATTCAAACGTCTAGTTTTTTAAACCGATTTTACAAAAATTGGAAACTCTGAATTCGATTGTATTTTTTCGTTTGTTACCTTATAATTTCGTCATTTGTAAACCGATATGGATTTTTTTTCTAATAGAAACACGTACAGTACGTATATATACGTGTACGTAATTGGTTTCATAAAAGTTTTATCAAAATCGATACAGTAGTTTAGTGTATAAATCCAAATTTGGTTTCGTCACAAATAAAGTAGGTTTTTTTCTAAAACACAATCTTAAATTATCAAATATTTACACTTATAAATAGAATTATTCCACGAAAATGTATTGTTCGGTTAATCAATGCTTCAATTGGAAATTTACCAATTTGTTTGGTATGTTCTTGAGTATTGAGCAACAAACATACAAACATTTAAACAAGCTATCAATACAATAATAGTATTTTCAGCAAAATGACTGCATTCCTCTGTAGCAGTATCAATTAAGTATTCAGGCGCAATACGGTTTTACATACATATACATATGTTGCGTTCATATTTTCTAGATATTTAAAAAAGATTTGACCCCGTCCACGCGATTTGGACTGTGGTCCAAGGCTGAATTTATCATAAAAAAACCGCCTAAAATCACAACTCTGGTCCGCCCAAGATGTGTTTTTAACGCACACTCCCATATCCTCTCACACATGATCACTTGACGTGACTTTTATAGACGCGTCAGCTGAAAAACACGGCCGTGCGATGTTAAACCTTATGTCGTCGTGATAGATCAGCAAGCGAGTAAGGAAACGTTTAAATTGGGATATTTCAAAAGTCGAATGCGACTCTTGAAATAATTGACAACAAAGTGAAATAAACTTTTTGGTAAGAACAATAAAGTTGTAGATTGATTGTACACTCGTAATATATGTACCGAATGAGAGAGCTTCCCGAAGTGCGCCGAGCTCGTACCGATCGGGTCCGAGTGGCGCCGAGACGCGGCGAGTGCCGCGAATGCATTACGACGTAGTGCTGTAGGGTTGGTGCTTAAGAAAAACTATAAGCTTTATTAGAAACTAGCTTTTTGCCCGCTACTTTGTTCGCGAAAATTTTTATGTAACAAATCAATTAAATAGACTACTTCTGGATGGCGTATCAAGATAAAACATACACAAGTTTTTTAGTCAAGTGTTTTTAGGAATACAACAGTGGAAACCGTATACAATTTAGTGCAGTAGTTTTGTGTGATGCTGGAAAAAACATACAGACAGAGAAAATGTCTAAAAAAATATTGTTTTGGCTTCTATAGCACCTATATTAACTCTTTACATTAATTATTCTTAATATATTCTTTATATCTATCACTACCATTTACGTGGTATATCTATGTAAAAAATTGGCGTTTAAATAGCTGTTTTAATGACTTATTTAGATACGCCTCAAGAATGGCAACGCATGGCGGGTATCATGGGCGAAACAGTATACTCTGTTATGTCCATGGTACTGCTCATGTCTATAGGCGACGGTTACCACTTTCCATCAGGTGGGCCGTCAGCTTGTTTGCCATTCTAAGTTGTATAACAAAAAAAAAATAATAATAATATACGACATATGTTTTTATTTATTTAAAAAAAATTGCAAATTCTTAAACTTTTCTCTGGTGGATACTCTTTGTATGGTGAAAAATGTAAAAATGCCAATATTTTTTTTAACTACTTAAAAATCAGAGGAAAGTTTATACTGTTTTTGTTTGTTTTTTAGTTTTTACATAAAACGTTTGAGCTGAAATAATGTATATACATATATAACTTATTTTCTTGTATATTATCTATATCTTTGTTATATAAACACCATCTTTTGATGAAAACTTCAATTAAAATAAAAAAAAGATACTTGCTTCATTTTAATTTGGTAATTAGTTATATATTAAGGTAATTTTAAAGGAATGTTATAAAAAAAATAAACTTTATGGCTTTCCTAATAATAATAGTAAACGCTGTATTCTTTTTTTAAATTTGTAATATTTCATTTAGAATTATATAAAAATAAATTATTATTTTATTAAATAAGTAAATATCGTCTCGTCTAATTTATACCTACAAAAATAACATAAGAAAAATGTCTCATACTCATTTTATTTAATCAATTAAAAAATATGGATAAATTTTTTTGTACCTACACAATTTCAACTTCATAATTACAAAATAAAGCACATGAGATATAGCGTAACATTTTTTGGGATCATAAAACAACAAGTTTAGTAAGCCAACAAAAAATATGAAAGAAAATCTGGAAAAGCTCTGCGCGGGCAGCCCTCGCGTAGGGCGGCGCAGGGCGGGCAGTACCGCGCGGCGGGAGGGGGCGAGGGCGGCGCGGGGGCGCGTCGGCTCGTCAGTCGGACGCGGGGCGCCGCGCAGCCCGCACGCGACATGCGCGCCCTCTAACGTATTATGTTCCTCCCCGACCTGCCGCGAGCCTGCATGGTGGACGACGTAGCGACTTACCTACAAGCTCCCTCCTCGGGACAGGTGGCTACAATATATTAACAACAACCCATATGTAATTAACAATGATCATATTAACAGATGTTGTGAGCTAATGTTGCTTACCGGACTGCGCCCGCCGCCCGGGTATTTTCGGGACGTAACGATTTCGCCGTCCGATCGATGGACGCACGTGATTTTGGTGTTAGGACAAGCAATAAATACGGCAACAAAAAAAAATATATATAAAAAGTCCACGTGGTACGAAGAAAGAAGAGTGCAGACAGAGAAGATTGGAATAAGGGATGGAGAACACGAAGGCGGTATGGATGACGAGATTATAAAGTGTGTGTCAAAACAAATGGTGTAAACAGATCGATAGTTGGTACATCGTTGGTTGGTTGGCCACGAACAATTTATATTAAAGCTAAGAGTGGCAATGCAGTAAAACTGGAATGCGTAACGGATCGCGAAAAGCGAAAAGAAACGCAAAATGTTGACCGACTCACAAATTTAAATATAATGCTGATCTCACACGTTTGTAAATAAAACACTTACAATTAAATAGAAGCAACTGCAACAGTAATAAACATATTGTGCGAAGAGCAATCCTTTAATGAAACTGTAATTTTTCATATCTCCGTATGTCGTTTTTCGGTGAAGTCATAGGTATGTTTGTTCTAAAATTTGATAGAGGACACAAAATAAAATCTCTAATCTAAATGTAATGATATGCCATGATTTAAGAAGCTTTAGATTTGTAAACAAAAACTGATTAATAATATTTTTAAAATATCTATAAAAATACAACTAAATGTTATATATTTACTTCAATTCTTTAGTTTTATTGGAAATAATAAAAAAAGCAAACAAAAAGAGGAAATAAAAGAACTTCAAAACATAAATTTTAAGTAATCAATTTTAAATAATTAAGTAACAATTTAACACAAACAATTTTCTAGTAACAAATACATTTAAAGTAATAAAAAAAAAGATAACGTATCTAATATTGTTAAAAGTAATGAAAACTAAATGGTTTCAATAACATTTATTGTTACTGAAACCACAGTTATAGATGAAACTATAAAAGTAAAGAATACGGAGCCTTCGTGACGTTTTTCTGCGATTGCAAATTGCTAGATGGTAAATCGATATGGTGTGTAGAAAGATGTGAGTAAGCTAACTGCAGGGGCACTACGGCATCGCAGCATAACGCCCATTGATAGCTGCAGTTCTACGCCACTAAAACTGGATCACTAAATTTGTTTCTACCAATTTTGCAATTGCTGGATACATTTTACACTATTTATTGATTTATTTCCATTAGTACTTCAATACTACATACATTACGTTTGATATATAATTTTTAATTATCTTGATCGATAGATTTGTTTTGAACGTATTGCAAGGGATTTTTTTAAATTAAATTGATTCAAATAGCCTAATAGAAACCGCAATTAGATTAAATTGGTTCGATTCTATGTTTTCTCTATTATTGGTCTACAGTTTGTATGAAGATATTTTAAATCGACAATAATTTGTAATAATAATGTATACCAGTATTTAATTTTTAGTATATTACATCAATATTTCACTTTAAATGTCTTGATATGTAAAAAAATTAATACATTGCGTCTAATGGTCAAATTTCGTGCTACTTCTATGAAGCAAGGTTATTCAAGGCTTTAGAAAAAAAATAGACTAAATGCTTATGTGATTAGGTTTATTTTTATATAGAACAATCAACAAAAAAGGGTTAGCTCTATTAAATAAACCATAAGGCAATATGCATTATATATGATAGCTTTCTTGCTCTTCCATGCCCAGTAACTTTTTGTTAAATGTCTTATAATTACATCTTATTTTAATTATACTTCCTGAATACTATATTTACAGTAAATATTACCGTTTGATTAAAGCAACATCTTTCGTCAAAGCTCTCAAGTTCAACTCATAAAATTGTAAGATAAAATTATCTCAAATGAATTTCAGCTAGTTGCCAAAACAAATAAATGATATATCTCTATAAATTTTATAAATGGTAGTTTTCTTAATAAAAGTTATAAATAATAATGTAAAATAATGAAAATTAACAAAAACAATGAATTCAGAATACTACATAATAATAATATGAAACCAAAATTAACAAAAAACAATAGATTTAGACAATAAAAAATACATTTAGAAAAAATAGATATCACAAACATAAATAAGATATTCATTAATTTTGAAATTGTAGTCTAAAATATAATATGTAATGTATTTTATGATCTTATCTAAAATGCCAGATAGAATTTAAGAAAAATCTCTCAAACGAAAACTATAAAACTAACTAAACAGAGTCTGCTTAGATTTTATATTTCCTTATGCACCAAAACTCAAAGCCAAGTGTAGTCAGCAAAGCACACCGAACCGTAGCAACGAACCGATTGTTTAGAAAATACAATCTAATTTAATTTTGTGCAAAATAAGCTTGTTAACATAGAAACAACAGATCTTATTGCAACCCATGTTAATAAACAGCCACGTTTACAATAAAGCATTAATAATGAAATTAATGATTTTAAACTTGCACTTTTTAAGTATGTTTATGACTAGGCGCAATAATTCGTCCTTTTTTCAAATGTTCAAATCTGAATATTATAGTATCTAGCCATATAAGAAGGCACTATGATTAGATCAATTTAATAAAGAAAACTTATAAATGAAATACAGTATGTACATATATTGAAAGGCAGATATTGCTGGAACGTAAGTGAAGGTCCTTTATTGTGAAAACGAGGAAACTACAATGCGAAAATCTGGGGCATATCGTGCATAATACCAAGAACCGAGAGGCATACTAATCATCCGATGGGATGAGAAAGCAAGGGGAGGAGATAACGTCGATGTTGTTCTATAAGATTCCATAGTTTCGCCTTATCTTATTGATGGCCGAATAATCTTTGACCTTCGAAGTAGGAAAAACAAGAGCAAGAAAACTGAAGAGACGAAAAGTGATTGCAATATTGTCGGATATTTTTTCAATCATGATAATGATTTGAATAATATATTAATCGAAAAATATGTTATTAAATATTGTTACAAGTCTTATCATTCATTAGTAAATAAAACTATATTAGTATTAACGATGGTCTTAGAAAAAAACCTAAAATAAAACATTGAAAAAATGAATAAACTAAACATGAGTTATTAACTCTATGAAACAGAGTTTTCTTTTTATTCTATAGAACAAGGTTTATATAAAGAAAATAAACAAAAATATGAAATGTGCTGATAATGAAGAGTAGAAAAAAAAATACAATAAAAGCAAAAGTGATCAAAGGTTAATAATTGTAAAAAAAAAAAAAAGAAATATGTGTATATTTGAAAATCGAAAAAATTACTAAACGTGAGAAAATTTGCTGTAAAAAAGTGATGCGTAACTTCACGCTATTTTCCTTGCGGAGACAAATAAGGCGTCCAAAAATACCCGGCCGGCAGTCGCTGAGCGCGCGTCGCATCGGTGTTTTAAAAGATATACTACATGTTTTCTGTCCCCCTCGTGTTTATTTCTCTTTCTGTCACCTTTTCTTGCCACTTTTGATGTTTGAATGTTTTTCACTAACTGTTAATATTTAACCTTTATATTTAAACTGTAATTAGATGTATGTTTTGTTGCGTGAAACTTTATTTTTGTCTTCGTACTTATTAAATTTTTTCATACAATAAATTTGAAATTTTTTTTAAATATTTGTACTCAAATCTTTATAATAATTTACTTGTATAGTATTTATGAACGTTTTCTATAAAGATAGGATCGTATTGTTTTTATAAAAAAAAAAACGAATAATGATTCACGCAATTATAAAACATATATATTATTTTGTAATCTTAATGTCTGAAAAGTTTTTCCAGAAAAATATCAAATTTTCATAAAAATACTGTTATTTTTTTTTTTAATTCTTAAAACGCAATATTTGCTATAGAATTGTTTTTCTGGAAAACATTTTTTCGTTTAAAATTATGTAAATGTGCATGTATCCCGAATGCACTCCCCGAAGCAAGGTTGTGATGCACGTAAACATATTTCTTTTATTTTACTTTTTCTTTTTTTATTTTGTTCATAAATTTGAGAGGCAAAGGAAAGTCCATTAGCGGATTGGATATTTGGTTATTGATGTTTATTTGGATTGTAAGGTACCGAGTGATCTGATGATGCCTGTTTGTCTGTTGAATCATTAGTATTTTTATATAAAATGTGTGTTTTTTTTTCATATTGCACGATAAGTTAAACAGTGTCCTAAACATCGTGTTATCCACGCTCTATATTTTCTTCTTTAAACTATATTATATCCATGAAACTTATTAAATTCTCAGTAACTTTACTAACTATTGTAAAAATGAGTTTAAATTAACTTTTGGCGTTTTAACGGCTCAACCAATCCACATGAAATTTGGCAAATGTGTAGTATTTGGGGTGGAAAATTATGTGATATGTTCGTATTTTTTATTCTAAAAAAGTTATGTCTCTGATCTACGCCTTCGTTCGTATGACAGTGATATTACGACTTCCCTTTTGGTAAATTACTTCACGTTGTGTTGTGCACATATCACACACATAACAAAATGTGTCTCAGAACGAGAGAGAAGCAGAAATTTTCTGGATTTTTGCTATACTCATATATGTTCGTATTAGTTAGGATAAAAAGTAGCTTATAATTCTAATTTTATCAGAGGGAGACTTTGTACAAAAGTCGTTTACTTGGGTACCTTTGTCCCATTCGTGTTACCGTGAAGCAGTTGTGTTTGCATGGCTGTGTTTCGGTTTGAAGGGTGGGATATGGCGTGAATTTACAGGGTACAGAGGAATAACACCTGAGTTCTCAGGTGGCAACGGATGGGGGGTATCACGGGCGAAACAGTATACTCTGTTATGTCCATGCTACTGCTCATGTCTATAGGCGACGGTTACCACTTTTCATCAAGTGGGCCGGCCTAAGTTGCATAAAAAAAATCTTTTTCTACGTGATAAAAATTTTATGACGATTTGTTGAGCATTTAAATCGTTAAAAGATAAAAAAACAAACTTATTCC